GATCAAAGTTAAAAAAGCGGGCATACTGTCTTCCGGATCCAAAGGACACGTCCACTAGGGTGACGACTGGGTGGAAAACCCAGACCATCAGCAATTACGACGCTGGTGTCAAGTATGTTACTTGGCTAAGAAGCACTGCAACCTCCAAAATGTTCACCATCAGAAAAAAATTCATACGGACGAAAGTTATTAAAACCGACCGGGGCGTGGCAGAATAGGTCAGGTGTAGAATGGAACCGGCTGGTGTGGTCTTGGATGAGAGACCCATAATCCAGAAATTCTACATTGTCTTTCTACTTCAGATTCTGCCGCTTGGTTCACATCCACGCCACAGAGAATGCAGCATAGCCGACTATACTTCGGTTCTACCCGCAACTTGTACAACGGGACGGAAACACAAGTACAAAAAACACAGAGCCAACAATTCAGAGTCACATGCTTTGAAGAGACTATCAAAGCGATGGTATATTCACAAAACCACAATCACACCATCCTGTCCCTTCGGGAGATGAAAAAAACATCTCGCCAGTGAGGTGATTGTTCAACCGTTTTCCGCCCCTGTGCAGGCGGCTACCCAAATTTATCACAAGACACTCGCAACAGCTTATGCTGGGGTATGGAATCCTTAACATCTTGGTCGGAGAAACCTGTAGCCGTACACCTAGGCCTGTGTGCGAGAAAGCACCTACTACATACTGTAAAAGATTTAGGGAGGCAGGTTTCCCACAAACTTTACTGAACTACGATCAGTTAAATAACCGATGACGACCGGGTTCCTACTAAGCAATACGGACCTCACAAGATAGCACACATTCCAACATACTCAGTCGTTCAAACGCTCAAGCGTTTGGATTCGTAAGCATAAAGAAAGTACTGTTGTAGATCAAATGGCTGTTTATCTGTTTGCCAAGCTCGGCGAATCAATTAACGCACCCGAGTTACCAATATTTCGATACACTACCGCTATCCTACCATTCAAGTCTCAGTCGGCGAAAACAGTTATTCACTGCTCTTCTGACTATGGCTGGGTATGACTTCACATAAAAACAAGAATAGCGAGGTTCCTTCATAGCATAATGGTTCAGTCCACGTGCTTCTCGCGCAAACGACAAGAGAATATCGTGTTAGAGGTAAGCTGATATAAGCCCTGCGGATACAGACGAAATGCGGGACCCAAAGAAGTACACTGGAGACTCAGATCCACAATGCGAACAACTGGAAAAAAACTAACCAGGAAGAAGATCCAGGAAGTCAATAGCTATCTTGTCTGGGGTCCACACACGCACCGCAAGTCCACCATCCCCTGTCGGATCAGCAGCATTAGCAGCCAAACCGCTCAAAGCGCACTCCATTTCGAACGGAGTTATGATCGGAATGAGCATCTCGCGTGAGTCCAGCAAACTGGTTTCTGCACATGCAACCAGAACTAACAGATCCAACTCCGGGAGATTGGCCAGTTTGGCGGCGTTTAGCTTGCCTACCACCAGAGTAACATAGAAACGTCCGAGTCGCTTTAAAAGGCGCTGAAGACGCGTCACGATGCATTGATAACCCCGTACTGACAGGGTGCCCATCTGAAGAGTAGGAAAACGATACTAAAATCAGCCTGCATCTAAAGAATCTAAGATAAAACATACACACATCTAGGAAACTACATGGGAAACAAAGGGTAGGGAAAAATACATTTGTGATATACAATGCACATGAAGCACAACAGGGGGAAAGTACACAGAAGGAGTGCTGGGCTTTTTCCCCAGGAAATGCCATCAAGCATACAGATGTCACGAGTTGAACATCAAAGTCCAATCGCACAACACATTGGTTCGCACTTCTGTAGAGCCATGTGTCATTGTAAACGATACCAGTAGCAAGGCCCATAATCTTACGTCCGTGTGACCAAGCTGTCACCCTGCCCTTTGCTTCGAATGTTCTTCAGCAAGGAAGATTCTGCTGATTTCTACTCTCTATCATATATGAGGATTCACGCTTCAGTTTCTTACACAGGTTAATGCATGCATTTTACGTGGGTAATTGACGGATCAACTGGACGACTGTTTGAAGGTTTGTAATAATGCCACAAATTCGCGATGAACGATATTACTCACACCAATCACCATGCATCCGTAAAAACGCGATGCACGTGAACAATTGGCCTAGCTACGAGCTGCGACTTCTCAAAATAGGTGTAGATTTAACGGCAAATATATTTGTATTGTTTCCGGATTTGTTCCACACGTCGCAAAATTCAAACGATTGGATCGTGCTAGCGAATGAAGTTCAAGCAGAAAGTACTTCGAACGTGGAGTGTCACTTTGGGAAGGATGCCATTTTCAAGCGTCACGTAAGGCACGTCGTGCTACGTCAATACCCCACTGTCAGTCCCCATCATCTTGGGACAGCAATCAGCATAGAGCCGGGTTATCCTCAGAACATCCAGAAAACGAGTTACTCCGGGAGAATGTGGCAGCCCCTTCCGCTCAATTCATTATGGATACCGAAAAAGCCCACTTAATTGATCTTCAATCTGTTTTACGTAGAATATAACCGACTAATCCCTGATTCTGTAGTGATACGGTTTTGAAGGATATTGATGGCGACCGGTTGTTGAAGTGAATAGCGGTGCAGAACTTCCTATGGAATCTTTCCCTATCTATAAAGAAAAACACAGTTGGTATAGTTCTGAAAACCAGCAGCAGGCAGAAAAGCTCATTCTTGAGACGGAGAGTCTCCTGAATAATCCTGTCAGATCAAGAGACCGGTTAGAATCTGCGCAACAGCGGAATCGTAAACGTGCGACAGCTGAAAAAAGCTCCTTATCGCTTTAAAATTCCAAACTCGAAGTGCACTGTTGGAGCATTTCCATTTTACGAACGGGTCTATTTCGGCAGCGATGGTCTGGTGCCCTCATACGGGAATGTATCCAACAGCTCGGAGATGATTGGAAGGTGGGCGAGGTACCCGGCAGTCACTTCGATTAAGAGGAAAATAAATGCTTCCAATCCGAAAAAAAAATCTAGATCCCCAGATAGCTGATCCAAGGACCATAGCATCATTAATCAATGTTCAATGTAGGACAGTTCCATCTGCCCCTACGCTGGGAAAACACATTCTGATTTCATGAGCACAAACAGTATCTGAGTCAGACCGGTTCACATCACCCGCTACGTACGTCTGCACGCAGATACCCTCATATGTCCAGTTGCATTGTTTACTCTCGCCATACTGCCCGGCTTTGTCTGTCTGACATCCCTGTCGTCCTGATTAGTTCTTTTGTTGCCGATGTAAAATTTTGCAATTTTCCAATTCCAAACCCTGAACTCTACAGTGTAACGCGGCAAGGTGAATGGTTGGAGATTAAAGGTTCGACTGCAATTCCACAGACGAGTGATGGAAAAATAGTTAAGGATGAAAATAATAAAAATACTAATCGTTCAGTTAAAGCGTTCTTTCGATGCCTGGCTGCCATTTCACCCAAAGAAACACGAGGGCTAAGATAGTGTCACGGCACCCAAACATGGATAAGAACAGCCAAGATGCTGAGGGTGGGTTCGAACCACAGACTTGCCGTTCGCGCCTCAACCAATGAGCTTGCCTTGAGTTCACTTAAAGAGAATACGAATCTACAAGCTACATACAGAAGTAGAAGAAAAACCGCATGGGATGAACACTCATCTTATGAAAAGCTTAGACTCACGAGAATGCCAATCTTTTGTGCATCTTTGGCTTTCTCAACAAGATAGGAGCGGCGCTTAACAAAGCTTTGAATTGCTGCATCCGCTTGTTTTAGAACGAATGAGAGGGGATCAAAGAGAAAGGATTCAACCCGTGAGACTTCTGGGAAACCGAGTAGTATTCGGTGAAATGCTAGTTTATCTGATTCCGATCCAATATGGATCAAAGTCCAGCTGCAGTGGGGAGTGGGCAATGTTCCTCCCATGCAATGAAAACTTCTTCCACATCGTTTAAAGACGGAAGGCGGAAGATCGCAACCAAATGGGGATGGAGTAGCAGATTCAGCTGGAGACGTCAAATTTGGTTCCGACCAGACAAGCAGAGGAAGTGTACCACTTTCGCGTTCTTGTAGCGCATCCCAAAGATACTGATACACTGCATAGGCGATGGTTTGGAACCGAAAATCGTACGTTATAACAACCGGCAGACGAAATGATGGAGAAACGGAAGAGCAGAGGTTCCCCAGGATATTTTGAGCTACGCCCGATAATCGGTCAGAATTGAGCGCTTGAGCAGGTTTTAATTGACCAAAAACATATAACACCGGAAGCTGACCGGAAAGTTCGGATAGACAAGCACGGCCATAATGAACGAGGGCATCAATATGGAAACGCTGACCGGCAACCTCGTCCACACAGCATCTATGGGAAAGGAAACAACGTTTAGGTTTCATGAAGTGAGGTCAAAAATCATGTGAACCGTGTAGAGTCCGGTCAATAAGTACTCACTGAATCACAGATACCCAAGTAAAAAACTGTGCAGAAACACTGAACTGAATCACCTACCCAATGTGGGCAATTCGGTTCCACATCCAGCGAGATGAAGTCTGCTCTTACTCCCCGGGACACAAGTTAACAACCACCAACGAAAGAATGCAAGGGCAGGTTTCACTGTATAATAGCACTACAGATGCCTGTGGGTGAAACATCAACTTTGACATTTTCACAAGTAGTGATCATGTGGTAGAGCTTGGCAAAACCTAACTCACTTGAATATTTTGACATAAATCCGGCTTCATCTGGTGACTGCGGGTAATAGCCCAAGGATTCTCAACCTCAGTGCACCAGGTGGCAAGAGTATATTGAAACATACGGCTAGTTGTATCCAGTTGGAAGGACTTATGTGAGATGAGTGGAATGGGACTCCGTGCATGCGCAACCGGTACATGAACACGCAGAGAAGCTCAAAGAACGGTACAGACTATCGTACCATTATTTCGGAGGATATTCCGCTGCATCACTTAGGCTGCTGCCTACCGAATGTACGTCAATCGCCGAATATTTCCGACAAAAGTTGCTTACCACTGGGGTCTTCACCCCTCCATTTAACCGATTTATAGTTAACCCAACCTGTTTCACAGTCAATAGAATCCGATGCACAATGTCAAAGAACTCTAGATATCAAAAATGTGCTTATCCGGTATGCTGAATGGTCCCATTTGTTTTGATGGTGTCTCGAATGTAAATTGTGTTTTGGGAGGTTTACCCAGTCTCTGCCACTGAAACATACATGATGGAAACAGCCGGATATGGTCTCTTCAGAGGGAGAGCATTGTAGTAAGTTTGCGATTTTGGAAGAGCACATTGTATCGAGAATTCGCAAAACGTCCGCCACTGTGTACCGGACATCAGGATTCGTCACCACCTAGACATCCAGAATGATCGAACGAGTCAACCAACGCAGGTTAGGTGGTAAGCACGTTAAGTCGTTCAGGTGTGACTTTTTGCTCAATGTAGTGTTCAGCGGTAGGTTCCAGTTGTTTACAAGGAGACAGAGGCTTTGTCTACAAAATAGCCAAGGCCTAATTTGGAGTGAAGAGACAAAACGAGCAAGTGGAACAAGGCATTTCGTCTACAATAAACACAAAATCACCAACTTTTTATCATCTCCGTTTTCAAACTATTAATCAGCCTTTACTTAATTCCTTATAACGGACGGATTTTATCTACCGTTGAATCATATAAGAAAATAAGGATTTAGTAAAAGAATTCTGAATGAGATTGCGAGAGAAAAAACCTTGTGAACGAACTGCTAACGGAGTTAATTACTCAGACCAATTAGTGCACGAAAACATCTCAACACAGTATTTCGGAAGGAGGTGATGTTTAAATAGATAAGGTGAATGATGGTCACAGCGAACATACCCCGCAAAAGAGCTGTCGCCCAAGATGAAGCAGAACTCGCCAGACTGCTCACACAGCTTTTGGCAAACCGACACCGAAATATTGAGAAGTTCGTCGGGAAATTGTAATCCAATCTAAAAACAAATGGTAAGGACGGTGAACACGAATTGGACTCACGTGCTTGACTCCTTTAAGCTTGATCCATGACGCTGTATAGTCTATACAAAAAGTGCTGTCAATATCTGTTGTACACACAGGGAAATGTCCCTCGGACACGAGAACCCGAGAGATGACGTCCGAACCATCGTTTGTAATTGCGCTTGACATGAACCGAGATTGTTGACAAAATGACAAACACAAGAACTTGTGAAGAAGCGTGCAAAACAGGCTGTGTAGAACGAAGGACAAAATTATTGAAACACACGGAACTAAATGCGAATAATGTTAGGTTATCGCGAGCGAAAAAGCACTAGCAATCAACGGAGGAATGCGATGGTTCCATTAATCACACCATCAATTAAAAGTGTACCAAGCAGTTACATGTATTTCTAAGCTTCAATCATCATCAGTGTCAGCTGTAAGAACCGCGTACTTGTCGTACAGTGGTTGTAGTTGTCACAATTTCGTTTATCGATGATTTGGGGAGGTGGAGTAGATAGCTGCGCATTGGAGACGGGAGCTGATAAATTCGTGCGTAAACACAGCACTGACAGTGGACTGTCAGTTGGGGGAATTGGGAAGGGAGCTATGCATTGAAAGCAATAACTTGGATGCATTACCGCCACTGAGGGCGCGACTGGGCAATGTCTGACAGTCTTCAACCATTGATGCGGCTCATCTCGGGGTCCCCATCCAGGAAGACGGCAATGACCAGCGCAGCTGAGTTTGCTGGTAATTGCTTTCATACTTATCTGCCAAGTCATTGTTTGGCCGCCCCTGGCTCGTTCCCATCCCTAATGTGGTTGTCTGGAAGGAACTCTTCGAGGAAGCCGGTCGACTGGCATAGGCAGCACGTGGCCAGGCCAAGCCAACGCAACCGATGCAGTGTGATCAGTTCATCTATCGAGGGTGAGTTATTTCTTCCGAATACCATTCCACGCACTTAAAAACTGCTGATCCGGTGTTTCCACCACATTCGGGCAAGGCTCCGAAGACATCGATGGTCAAACACTGAAAGTCTTTTGACCTCCTCGGCGCGCAACGACCAGGTTTCTGATCCCTATAGTAATATAGAGCAAACCGTAGTAGTGTAAACTCAACCCCTGTTGAATAAGCTGATGTCACGCCTACGTGTCATGACTGTATAACCCACATCTTTGCATAACCTATTAACTCGTGATTCTCACTCTATTTTCAGCTCATGTACTACAGTTATTAGACGATTATAGCGTACATTACGTCTTCCTACTCTATCTCCCTTCTAACCCCGTCCTGGAACTACCCGACTCTCGCAACAATTTAATCGTCTAAAAAACGAAATGGATAATATTCTCCGACCTACGGTTTTTGATGCTGATCCTCACTCATCAGATGGCATGAAACTATGGACTCATTGGTTCCGTACTTTCAAAGCCTACATTAACTCAATCAAACCCGAGGGTCTAAATAAATTGGAAACTCTCATTCGTCACATCGACCATACAGTGTATGACTTCATTGCAGAATGCAGTGACTACGATTCTGTGATAACCTTGCTGGAAAAACCTTACATCCGTCCGAAAAATATCGTGTATGCACGCCATATTTTAGCCACATACAAACAAGAACCTGGTCAAGATGTCGACCAATTCGTTCAAAAACTGAAATCGCTTGCTAAAGACTGTGAATTCAAAGCAGTATCTGCTGTGGAACATACAAACGAGGCAGTTCGGGATGCTCTGATAACCAGATTGCAGTCGAATACCATTCGGGAGAAACTGCTAACGTGGCATGAATTGGACCTTGACAAAGCCCATGAAGCCGCGCGAGCTCTCGAACTTGCACAAAAACAGTCACAATCATACGTATACAGACAACCCGTTACTTGTTCGGTATCTACTCCTTTACCCATTGTTAATTCCGAAACAACAGTTTCGGCCGCTACTTTTGTGGCAACCCCAAGCACCCTCGTTATAAGCGTCCCGCTAAATAATCAGTGTGCAAGAGTTGTGGAAAAATTGGACATTTCCAACGTGTCTGTAGGTCCAAAGCCTTGAAATATCACGCGGGTTCAGCTCAAGACTCCTCAATCTCCTCGCTACTTTGTGCTGCTGCTCCCAATTGCCTATCCAAAACTACAACAGATATTTTGGTCAACGGCGTTGTTGTCCGAGCTCATATTGATACCGGCAGCTCCAGAAGTTTCGTTTCTTCATCAATCCTGCAAACTCATAACTGGGAGCTATTTCCGTACGACTCTGTGATAACAATGGCGTCGACGATACATTCACGTTCCACCAAAGGTTATTGCCTTGTGTCCATTCAGTACAAGGATGCTATATACGAACGTTTCAGACTTTG